TATACCATGGAGTACTATTCAGCTTTAAGAAACAATGGTGATATAGCACCTCTTGTATACTCCTGGATAGAGCTGGAACTCATTGTACTAAGTGAAGTATCCCAAGAATGGAAAAACAAGCACTACATGTACTCACCATCAAATTGGTATTAACTGATCAACACATAAGTGTACATATAAGAATAACATCTATTGGATGTCAGGCAGGGGAAAGCGGGGAGGGAGAGGAGGGGACGGGTATATGCATACAGAAAGAGTGCAATGCGCACCATCCGAGTGATGGACACACTTCAAACTTGGACTTGGGGGGGGGGGGGGGCAAGGGCAACATACGTAACCTAAACATGTATACCCCCATAATATGCTGAAATTAAAAAAAAAATACGTTTTAATTTAAAATAAAATTTATGCTTCAGTTATCATACGTATCTCTTATCTTTTCAGAGCCAGATCATGTTTTTTGATGATTGTATCAAAAGTTTTGGAAGTTCTCATTCAAAAGAAGAGTTGGAAAGTGTTCATGCTGGTGTGATATGTCATCTAGAAGAGGTTGCGGGGCTGGTAGTGTTGGATACTAGTAACTCTCGAACAAAAGCTGTACTAGGAGCGCTGCTTACCCTTTATGTTCACTGCAGAGATATAGTGATAAATTTACTGCTTAAAAATATTTTCAATGAAGAGGATTTTGAATGGACAAGGTAGGCAGATCTAAATTATAACCACATACAGTAACTTCTCATAAACATATCTTTAGGTAAATTGACTCTTCACCTCAAACTGTGTCAAACTTGAGTTTTAATTTTGGGGGATTTACCAAAATTCTAAGCAAATTGCACCAATTTGACTTAGTAGTCTCCCCTTATCTGTGGTTTTGCTTTCCATAATTTGAGTTACCCATAGTCAACCATGGTCTGAAAATAGGTAAGTACAGTACAATAAGGTATTTTGAAAGACGGAAAGACCACATTCACATAACTTTTATTATAGTATATTATCATAATTTTTCTATTTTATTATCAGTCATTGTTGTTAATCTCTGTGCCTAAATTAAATTTTCACATAGATACATATATATAGGAAAAACATAGTACAGTATTTATAGGGTTTGAAACTATATGCAGTTTCAGGCATCCACCAAGGGTAGTGAAACCTATCTTCCACAGATAAGAGGGAACTACTGTACCATATTCCTATTTTTCTTTCTTTCTCTGTTCTCCTCCCTCTCATTTTTATTTCTGTTTTATCTTCCTAACCTAATTATGCTCTTCTGGTAGTTGTATTTTCCCTTTTGCCATTCAAACAGAGGGCAGTAGTTGTCAATGGGCAATGAGAACTCTACCTCAAGCCTCTTCTTTCCCCTGTGCTGTCAATTCTGGAATAGACTAGGGTGGAGAAACAAATCAGAGAACATTTCCCACCAATTCCTTAACTCCAAAATAACCTTCCTTCTACCCAGAGTCAATTAGTAAAATATGAAAATACAGAAAAATGGAGCCACTACTTTTGGTGGGGAGATCAAGCATAAGATTCCTATAATAAATGTGACATTTCAAACTTTTGAATTAATTTTTTAAAGGTTTTCTTTCTTCATAGAAAAGCAGGTGTCTTGCCTATATCATTTAAGGTTTTTGGTTCTGAAGAAAAGTTAATTTTTAAGAAATTCCACAGTTAGCATAAATTTCCTTATTTTAGGTATGACAATTTCCTTTAAACTCTAGGGAGCTCTGGCCAGAGCAGTTAGGCAAGAGAAAAAAATAAAGGGCATCCAAATTAGAAAGGAAGCAGTCAAATTAGCCTTGTTCACAGATCACATGAACACCTAGAAAAACCTAAGACTCCACCATAAAACTGTTAGAACTTATAAATGAATTCTGTAAAGTCACAGGATACAAAATCAACATAAAAAAATCAGTAGTATTTATGGATGCCAATAGAGAACAATCTGAAAAATAAATCAAGGAAAAAACCCCATTTACAATAGCTACCTATTCATAGGTAAAATACCTATGAATCAATCTAACCACAGAAGTGAAAATTCAGTACAAGAAACACTATAAAACTCTGATGAAAGATATACGAGGACATTAAAAATGGAAAGATATTTTATGCTTATGGATTAGAAGAAATAATGGTAAAATGACAATACTACCCAAAGCAATTTACAGATACAGTGCAATCCTTATCAAAATGCCAATGGCATTCTTCACAGAAATAGAAAAAACCAATTATATGGAACCACAAAAGACTCCAAGTAACCAAAGCAATCCTGAGCAAAAAGAGCAAAGCTGGAGGCATCACACTACCTGACTTCAAAATGTGTTGTACCAAGACAACATGGTACTGGCATAAAAACAGGCATATGGACCAATGGAATAGAATAGAGAGTCCAGATATAAATCCACACATTCACAACCAACTCATCTTCAACAGAGGCACCAAGAATTTATTAATACAATGCGGAAAGGACTGTCTTTTCAATAAATGGTGCTGGGAAAACTTGATAGCTATAGCAAAAGAATGAAACTAGACCTCTATCTCTCATCATACTCAAAAATCAAGTCAAAATGGATTAAAGACTTGAATCCAAGATCTGAAACTATGAAACTACTAGAATAAAAACATTGAGGAAATGTTCCAGGACATCGATGATAGCAAAGGCTTTTCGTGTAGGACCTCAAAAGCACAGGCAACCAAAGCAAAAATAGACAATTGGGATTACATCAAGCTAAAATTCTCCTGCAAAGCAAAGAAACAGTCAACAAAATGAATAGACAACCCATAGGGTAATCTCTTAATTACCAAAGAGGATATATCATGTTTATGAACCATTACTCTGCGAAAAGTCTAATATTTCATTATTACTTTGTATTAACTCTTTTTAAAAATGAACATTAAAAAGTAGAAGAATATATATAGAAAAGTAAACTAGGAAAGAGAAGATTCTAATAATGCTTTGTAAATGTGTCTGAGTTTAGTGTTACAGTTGCGAAACTGTGTGCCATAGTGCCCCAAGGCACCACAGAAAATTCATAAGGGCTCTGCAAGCTATTTTAAACATTTGAAGGAATCACAGCAATATACATCTATCAGATATCAAATATCCTAGCAGCTCAAAATAGTTCACAGATGTAACATCAGACCCTGCTAGATACCTTTCAGTGATTTCTTATCCTTGCCAAGCTAGCTTTTTGGTAGTTGCCCTGATTAAAAGTTAAATATTCCATGAAAATCACTGTGGCACAGGAAATGAGGTTGGCAGTATCCAATCTGATCCTAAGGTTGTAGAAGGTTTGAAAAGTGGTGCAGTGCACAATAGGGATACACATCCCATTAATAAGTAACTGGATATTTAAGAATGAAATAAAAGAATTTTTTAATTTACTTGTACAGTTTTTTTTTAAAACAATCTACTAAATCATTAAGACAAAAATACTTACTAAGCTGTCGTGACCTAAAAATTAATAAAAAGATCTGTTAGATATTTCTTTGGGCCTAGGGTAGGGTCATCATGAAAAAAATTACTGAGGTAAACTGAGAAAGTTTGGGAACCTCTGTTGTAGGGCAAGAATAATAGAAGGGCTAAAGCTCTGGAGATTGATCTTCTATTTAATAATGCTTTAGCACTTGAATCATAAAACAAATGCTCATTCTTAAGATAGAAAATTCCTTTTAAAAAATTCATTTCCTTCAACAAGTACTTCTCTCTCTCTTATGAATATATGCCTCTCATCTGATACTTTGCAAGGTGGTAGCTTAAAATTTAAAAACAAATTTTTTATTTTTAATTTAAACTTAATTTAAAAATTTACTGATTTAAAACTTTCTTTATAATCTGCCCTGTTGCTCCAGAAGGATTTTAAAATATTTATAACAATATACAAGCTACTATGATGATAGCATGAACTGAAAGTGAATGGAATGAGAGAAGGCAAACAAAGACAAAAACCAGTGCCTATGTAAGACCTTTAGTAGCTCTAACTTCTGAAAAGATACTGTGTCCGACTCCACTTATAATTAAAAATCAAAACAGTCCTAAACTATTAAAAATGTAATGATTTATCCCGTGATGATGTTTTCTAAAAATATCAAATGTAAAATTCTTTCTAAAATACTGTTTGATATTTCATCACTAATAGTGCCCAAATGTGTTTATTTTGAAAATTGAGTCAGCACTCATGGGGACATAAAATAGAGTCAAGAATGCATACCACAAAGCTACAAATAGTTCATAAATTTAACTCAAAGCCTTGTAGAGGAGAAAATTTATGGTTAGCTACACAATCCACAGTGTTCATAAGATAAACACAAATCAATTGCTCCAAAGTTCAAACTTTTTGATACTTAGAACAAATAGCATTTTTCTCAAGTACCCTCATAGTTAGGATCCAGACTATAATGAATATTGTCTTCAATCACATTCTTATTGGAAATCATAATAAACTTCATTGAGGTGATTCTTACATAAATCTTCCATTTAAGCTGATATCACACCAAAACAGCATAATTCAGCAAGGTCATTTGCCTCAGAGGAAAGCATGCTCAGATTTTTGTAGTCTTCTGAGTTCTAATATTTCATATTTAATACAGTCATTGATGAATTTTACATCACTCTTCTCATTTGATTTTAATGTTTTTATTTCTATTTTTTAATCAATACTCCATTTTTAATCTTGATTATATTTCTGCATGTGAAAAAAAATAATTTTACCAAAATAATAGGAGCATTTATAATATTGTTTTCAGACATTTGCAATATAAGTGGAATGAAAAACAAAAGTTGTGCTATGTATCTCAAGGAGATGCCAGCTTCACTTACGGCTATGAGTACTTGGGCTGTACCCCAAGATTGGTTATTACACCTCTCACAGACCGATGCTGGCTAACTCTCACAGGAGCACTGCATTTGAATCTAGGAGGCTGTCCTGCTGGTCCAGCTGGCACAGGAAAAACTGAAACTGTCAAAGATCTAGCAAAAGTAAGTGCCTTCTATATCTAGAATAAGAAGTTCCTTTTATTTTCCTGTTACACAAACTTTAATGGTATCTTAAATTTACAGCATTCCTGCTATTAAGATGTTCATTCATAAGCTGTCAAAAGAGAGCTAGCAATTCTGTCAGGTATTTGTTGAATGCCCTTGCACCATTGGAATGGAAATTGTTATATACATTTACTGTTTAGTTAATTGTTAAATATTTTTTCTATAAACATGCACATTCATGAATTCATATAATTCATCAGTTAAGTTTTGAATGTCTGTTGTGTACTGGGACTTGGGATCTCAGTAAGCCAACATATGCTTTGTATTTACTTGAAATACTGCCATACTGACTGACATATGAATGATTAATATCACTGTGTGTGTGTGTGTGTGTGTGTGTGAGAGAGAGAGAGAGAGAGAGTAGTAGTAGTAGTACTAGTAACTGCTAAAAGCAAAGGATATAGTTTGTGACACTAGAATGTCTTTTTCGTAGTTCTTATTTGTAAATTTGTGTAAAAACATGACCTTAACAGTCTATGAGCTAATCAACTAAACTATCACAATATATGGACATTTATACTACATCGAGTTTTGTGAATCTCTAAATTTGGTATCTAATTAATCTTTATATTGCAAAAGTTTTCTTAAAATAATAAAGACATTTTAATATTGTGACAGTTTTAGCATTAGTATTTTGTGTCGTAATTCAAGAAATATGTTAAAATAATATTTTTGCTTCCCAGTCCTTAGGCAAACATTGTGTGGTCTTCAACTGTTTTGAGGATTTGGATTATAAGGTAAAGCTTAAACATATATACTCAAGAAAAAATACTTTACACATAAAACAATTCACTGAAGAATAAAAGAACAAGAAAAATACCTATCTTAGACATTAAGTATTAATAGAACTTTAAATGCTATTAATTTTTTTAAACATAGATTAGAATAGAAACCAAGATTGTAATAGAAACTTAAAACATATACTTTGCTTTTAGTTCAAGTGAACTACTCCTTAAGACTGGTTTTCAAACTTTTTGACAGTAGGATTCTTTTCAAATAAAATCTTATATGGAACATGAATATATGAAACAATTAAGAGTACTGTTTTATTAATGTAAATTTATTTTAAGTCCTAACTCTATACATTTATTTACTGAAAAGGTAATCATTAAGAACAAGGCTATTATGATTAACACAGAAATTTGGGAGTTTATATAGATGATGACTATGAGTTTGTCTTATTTTCACATTAAGACATATCTCATAACATTCTGAAATATTTGTTATTAAAATTGCATGTACCTCTGTGCATGTCTTATAAATTTACTCAGTTTCAAAATACTGCAATTTGTTCTGAGTGTTCAGTTCAAACCTTTTACATTTTACTGCTGTCATTTTATTTGCTTTTCAAAGCACATTCATTACGATTCAGATCCTACATTTCCAATTCGTGCTCATTTAGCACATTAAAAATATCAGTAAACATAAATAAGCTGATTCAATTATTATTTTTGGAACACTTACCGGATGGTCTCTTGCCTCCTCCCTGGAAACTACCTTCCAGTGGGGCCCAGGAGGGCTGTGTCTAGGGTGAGGTGAGTGAGGCACTTGCCTGCTGAGCAAAACATAAAGGGAAGCCAGAAAGCCTCATAATCAAGATAATATTTTAATGCAATATTTTAAAATCAAAATTAATGCCAAAAAATCCCATGATGAACAAAACATGAAAATTTTTCAAAAAGACAAGATCTGATTCCTGCTACCCAGTGGGAGGAACCAACTTCTGTATCTGTCCCTGTTCAAGGGTCTCTCTTGCTGGTTCTGATTCCCTCTTCCTTCCCTCTGGGGATGCCTCCCAAAACCTCCTCATAGAGTGCAGGCGAGCCTCAGCCGGTACCTAGCCCACGCCCACGAATTTCTGCTTGGCCTGTCATTGTTTTTGTTTGCTTTGTTGTTTTGTTTTAGTTGCTAACATCTACAAATCAATAGATTTCAGTCCAGACTTTTCAGTCTCTCACAGAGCACTGGTACACCTGGCCAACCTGGGCCTACACCCTGGCAACTGGTGGAAGCCCGGTAGCAGCCACATGCCTTCGCTGGACCCACTCCAGTCTGGTCCAGAATCTAGACTGAGTCAGGCTCAATCCTCTGCATTACCCACCAGCAGCCCACGACTAGCCCACAGTCTTTACCTGATTTGGAAAAGGGAGCCCCGATTCTGGCAGTTTACACCGGAAAGTTGTTATAAAGACTGCGCCAGGGGGAGGCTCTGTAAGGTGAATGGCAGCCACGGGAGGGGTCTGGAGCCGCTCTGCGCAATCCGTTGTTACCTGTGGCCCTGTGAGCATGAGTTTGCTATGGCGTGTTTAGGCTTTTTCAAGAGACAGGCAGAGTAGTTGGCTCTCTAGAGTCTAAGCAGCTGCTGCTTTCAGCCCTACAAAAATGCCTGCAGGGAGGAAATGCAAAAGGTGTTTGCTTGGTTTGGTTAAGATGAGAAGAACATGTACAAATTAATACCCCAATTAAGTTTCTCACCTTTGTAATAATTTCAATAATCTTTTTATTTTTAAAGATAGTGAGAAAATTCTTCTTTGGACTAGTTCAGTCGGGAACATGGTGTTGTTTCAATGAATTCAATCGAATTAATGTGGAAGTTCTCTCTGTCATTGCCTCACTGATCCTAACAATTAAGTCTGCAAAAGACAGCTATTCTGTCAGGTATTTGTTGCATTTATACGTTTAGTTAATTATTGTTAAATATTTTTTCTAAAACAAGAGTTTGAGTCTTTGGGGATTTTTTTTTAAAGCGCATACCAGAAGGACTGGCACTTAAGTGTTTTCTTTGCTTGGCAAATTGTGTGAAAATATATGTAACTTTAACTTTCAGGCCAACTTCAAGGCAACAGGTATCCAAACTCTTGCCCAAACTTTGGAACAGTCTCCTGAGATACCAGGGCACTGATGCAAACATTAGTATGTTCTAATTACTTTTTTTTCCAGCTTAAATTCTCTTACTACCTTTTCATCTTAGGATATTGCATTTGAAGAAACCAAATGAAAGTTGCTTTTTTTTTTCTTTAAATCTGCATCCTTTTATTTTTATTTATTTATTTATTTTTATTTCAGCATATTATGGAGGTACAGGTGATTAGGTTATGTATGATGCCCTTGCCCTCCCTCCCCCCCAAGTCCGAGCTTCAAGTGTGTCCATCCCCCGGAGGTGTGTATCGCACTCATTGTTTGTGCATATGCCCGTCCCCTCCTCCCCCTCCCCCTCCCCCTGCCCAACATCCAATACATGTTATTCTTATATGTGTACTTAA